GTGGAAGCAGAGAGAGACACTGGGCTGAGGTATGTTTTCCCTACTCCTGAGAAGCATGTGGCATGAAGACCAACTGCAAACCTCCACTTGGATCCCCCTGTGCCTCAAGGCAAAGGGGGAGGGGGAACGTGAAGGAACCGGGAACAAAAGCTGAGCCTGGGAAGAAGGGAGGGGTCAGGGGAAGATGTTATGATTTTAAGATCTGGTTGTATCTCCCATTGTTCTACTCTGATGTTCATAACAAATTAAAATTGTTTTGATTTTTATTCCTTATGATGAGTCTGTCTTTTGCCTGTGACCTGTTTAAGTGGTAAGAAGCCCTCCCAGTCCTTATTTTGACTAGCCCTTTTTTTTAGGGCATGGTGGTGCTCAGTTATGCACTGGGTTTAAACCACAACATAAAAATAAATCTATGCAGCAAGAGCAATAAGATGCTTAACTCTGTGTCTGGGGTGGGGGTGGGGGAGACAGGTGCTGACAACTGCATAAGTACCCTTGACAAAATGATTCAGAAAGTCCCACACTATAAAAAAAGTCTCCTTTATTAAGATGGAGATGAGGAGTGCTTATTCCCAAATGTTTGAAAATTACTTAAGATAAGAACCATAAATAGTGACTTCCCTTTTTTTTTTCTTTCTTAGGGTTAGCCATCTGTTCCCTGAAGCAAGGTTAAAATAGCCGACTTAATGATTTCACAGTGAGAAGGGAGGGGGGGAAGAAAGACAGACAGAAAGACTCAAACTTTTGCTGCAAATTTAACAGCCTCTTGGCTAGAAATGGCATTTGACAGTTAATTGCAGAATGGTGATTTGCTTTGTGTATAATGGGCCAGCAGACAAACTGCAGATGGCTGCCCTACTGGGACTCCACAGGATTACCCGTGATTCAGTAAAGACAGTTTCTTTTCTGTTTTCTCCCCAATTTGTAAAACAAAGTAGCAACACTCTCAGTCCTTCGAAAGAATGTTCTTTCTATGCAACTTCTAGCAAGACTGTATCACAGTGAATCACTGCTTCATAAGAAATCTTGATCACAATGCATTGATGGTTAAAATGCCCACTGAAGTCATACCTATAATTTCCACTGAAGGAGGAACTGCAAGACCAAGATAACCCCAGTGGCATTATTATTATTATTATTATTATTATTATTACTACTAGTCACAGTGCTATCAGAGAAGCAATTACAACATGTCTCTTCCCTTCAGTTATCAAGTTCACAAGAGTGGGAAGAATAGGGTTGTGGGCTGAACATTGTTATTTGTTATTATTATATATCCTCTTCTCACACTGCCTCAAAAAAAACCCAAACCTCTGTGCTTCTGCTGAACAGAGGTGCAGAACCTGTGTTTGTTTTGAAACCCTTCCATGAATTAGAAAGACAGAAGCATATCATAAACATGCAGTTGTGGCCAAGGAAGCTGTCTTCACTTCAGAAAGAAGGTCAGTGACGTGCAAATGACAGCAGTGAGTAAGTTCATTAATACCCTTAATGAACTCACAGACAGCAGATAGCTTCTAGCAACTTGATCCTTACAAGTATTCAGATACTGACACCCAGAAATTGAGAAACTATGCTATTGATCGGAAATACCTTTGCATTAAAACAGTTTTGCCTAATCAATCATTTTATCATTGTTCATATTTAATAACATTTCTATCTTTCATATTCAAAAGACCATACAGCAACCACTCCTCTCTCGGCATAGTCCTCTAAAAAGGAAAAGTAGTCCATTTGCTTCACTCTCTTGCCACAACCCCAAAAACGTACATTTAGAAATACAAGTAATACGACATCATGACTGGCAAGCTTTTACTAACTAAATCACGTTTATCTTTACTGTCCAAGAAAGAATGTAAAATATAGGCTGCACTTGTGGAAAGCTACAGCTAACTTGTATCACCAGTACAAATTTTAGATAGATAGATAGATAGATAGATAGATGAAGCAACCACTCCAAAACATCCCTACGCACTTAAAATTAAGAGCAGAAATCCAGTGATTACCTTCCATCAAACGTAATTATATGAGGGTCAGTAAACGAGTAGCAGTAGGCAGTGGGTAGATCCTTTACTGTAATCTTCAAAACAAAGAAGCATATAATAAGCCATGTCAGATTAGAAAATCAACACACTCAGGCATATTATTTATCTTATGATACTAGTTTACATTCTAAAAATTATATTACACTTTTGGCCAATCTGAGTAGTTAAACCAATATTAAAATGCAAAAAATTTAATTCAAACGAACACACAGCATTTCAATGAAAATAAAACAATGAAAAATTGACCACTTAAAAATCTTGGTGTGATTCAGCAAGTCACAACTGAAGCAGAGGCTTTATTTACATCAGCCACATTTCTGGCAATTTACAGAGCTTAACATGGAAGATTTTCAACCTGTGTGCTTTCTGGAACATAGCCATTCCACAGGAAATTTTCACTGGATATAGGTTCGACTGCAATTCTGGTAATTCTGTCTCCATCCTGCATAAAGTCTGTCACAGCAGTGAAATAAATTACAGCTTGACTACAGATTCCATTATTGCAGGGTTTCTGGAGAAGATCCACATGACAAGAAGAAAGAGCCAAGTTTAAACCTAACTGCTCTTTACCTGTTTTAATGAAAACACATCATTAGTGAGTTTCCCTCTAAACAAGTCATTTTTTGTATACTACTCTTAATATAGATGCTAACTTATTTACAAGCATTTTCATAAATAACTCCCTCTCTATATCTTCATGCACACACCCAATAAAATGGTTTTAAATTTTCCAGTTTGATAGCCAAATTAAAATCATTATAGTCTTACTGATGCAACATAACGGTTGTGTGCACAGGCAAGGCTCCTCTTGGGGCTCACAGGACTTGTGCTTGAGAAAGTACCACAGAAAACAATAATAATCATAAAAAATGAGGACTTCAAACCTGCATATACAGTACTTGCAACAAAAATGAACTGAATTATAGACTTCACAAGTATTATGATATTCTGGCTATTCAACTTAAAGAATATGCTTCTGATATCCATAGCTACCAAAACCACCTGATAACTTCAACAAGTAATGGATTATGGACACATTCTTCCATATACTGTTAGCAGCAGTATATACAGTCTGTCAATATTTTGTTTTAATGTTTTAGAAAGTATTTTAAAATGTAAAAGCTTCTCGAAAGAGGCAGACAAGCTGTAATATTTAGAAAAGCACATTAAACAGAAAATGTAATAAAAATCAGGATAATACTTACCTTTATCAACAGTATTCAATGTCAGTGAGATTTTGCAGTCACTTTCAAACTGACTAAATTCAGGACAAGGAATAGGAATGCTACTTTCTATCACCAGTTTGTATTCCTTCCCATCTTCTGATATATCATATGTTTCTGGATGTATCTAGCACAGAAGAAATTTTACTTAAAATGCAATCATTGTAGAATGAACTACAGTGCTGCTTACTAACCAGCTAAGAGCTAAGTACAAAAAGCTTAAAAGACTGAATGCCACAGCAAACATACGTTCACTACAGTCAACACCACGCTCTATTAATTCACAATTAATATCTTTTGAGTGCCTTCTAGTCAGAGCATTGCTGCTGTAGCAACACTCAGAAAGATTCTTACTACAATACAGTAAAAAATTATTTTCTTTCAAAATTACCATAATGCCAGCAAAAAATTCCTTGCTCTCAACAGAAAAGCTTTGTATTTCTGGCTCCTCCATGAAAAAAGCAGAACTGCTGCAGTAGACCTGTAGGGCAAAACCAGCACAACAGAATAAATACATTTTTGGTATGAAGTGGTCACATGAAGACAAAACCCAGCCATCACGGGTCACTTTGATGGATCCATCACTCCCAGTCTTCTGTTTGCACCAGAAGTTACCACTTGCCAGTGGTGCTGCTTAAGAAAATCACAGACACAAACTGAGCACCCTTTTCCTGGCATACTCTACCAGTGGTGCAGAGGCTTCTTGAACTAAAGACTGCATACAAGTACCTAGGTCTCCACAGTTTTAACAAATCCCCTCTGGAGCATTTCTGCACCCTATGACATCTTGTGGAAATGCATTCTACACTTTATTACATGTTATTTACTTCTTTTTGCCCATTTAACATTTTTTGCCTTTAAATTTTGTAAATCCCCTTTAGATCTTAGAATATGCAAAACAACCATCCCTTCCTTCTCCTTTTCTTACTATACTTTATCCAGGCCTATAACACCAGGAAAAAATATTTCTTTCAAGCTGAAGTATTTACTGTGATTTGCCTCCACTGAACCAGTTCCATGCTTCTGGACACTGTAGGTTTGCTTTGAGTTTGTACTTTTTGTTTATTTTGCTGTATCCCTTTTGAGATCTGTTGACCACATACACAATATTTCAGGTCCTGAGAAAACCAAAGATTCATAGCAGCAGCAGGAAGTTTATGAATGCACCTTTCCTTTTCACTGTCACTGAGCTAACACTGCCAGGCAACTATTCACAAAGTCCCCAAAGAACAGCTGAGGATTAGGAATTGCTATTGTCCATAAGCCATCCAAGCAGCCTGGCTTTGGCTTGAACACACATGCACATGCACACCATGTACCATGTACCTTTTGTTTTTTATTCTAGCCAGGAAAAATTAACCTATATTTTGGTATACAAAGGTAGAAAGTTTATTGATTTTCCAATGCTTAAGCTTTTCAAAACTACCATGAGAGCCTAGGTCTGAACTCTGCTATCACGGGAGGTAATGCAAGTATTCCCAAAGCTTTTGATGAGAGATTAAACCATTTAAATCTGATCCTAGAGACAAAACCATCAAGCAGCAGCTCATTATTGATTTAGAGAAAATTAATCTATCTGATGAATCAACAACACACCTTCTCACAACCTGTGGCCCTTGCAGCCTCTCACTGAGATGCACTTGCATTCAAAAATCCTTTTCATTTACAGTATCAAACAGAATCACTGTAGACAGGGAAGAAGATGCAACTTGAATAAACATTTAGTTCCTGGAGGCACACTATACTGCACTGAGACAGACAGGTACAGCCACTGTTGGTGTAAACCGCAACTAGAAGTACTATGCTTCTGCCAAGAAAAATTATATAGCAAGGTGCTGGAACTCTGTCTCTAACATCTGTTAGTGTCTACTGAGCCATATTCACAAAGATACAAAGAGATTATAATTATTTCTTAACATACTCTGTCTCCAAGTCTGACGTTTATCCCATCCAGTTCTAGAAGTGAGAAGGTATGAACGGCTGTCTCATGTCTCAGTTCTTCTTTGACACCTTCAGGAGAGAGTCTTGACCAAGTTACAATGAATCCGACTGAGCTGTTTCCAAAAGGAACACCAAAGGTGCACTTTAGGTAAATGCTGCCTTTAATTAACTCTGGTGTAACTTCAGGAATGGCTGGTGGTGGTGGTGGCACAGATGCAGATGAAGGAGCCAGTTTACCTAGTGAAAACAGAAGTGTGGTTGGTGCTTCATATTCTGTGCAAAACCAACATTGGATGAAATGACATTGACATATATTTTGTCAATTAATACACTAATAACATCTGCCTTTTTCATATGTGGGAATATTACATAGTTGCTTAAAGAATCAGAGAAAAAATGTACATTCCTTTTATTAATTGATAAAAGGAAAAAAACCCTTTTTATTAGCCTTTGATTATATTCTAGCTTACAGGAAGGTGCTGAAGAGGGGGAAAGCAAACAAACAAACAAGCAAAACAAGGGAATAAAACATGATTAATTATTTTAGCAGACAGAAGAGAGCAACACGCAAAGGAATTTGGCCAACAGAAGTATATTTTCTCTACTTATGAAGAAACGGAGAGGAGGGGGGAAAAGGCTACATAAAAAAGAACAGAATAAGCAACAGTATGATTTGTAAATTCATCTTATATTTGACTCCCAAAGAATCAAAGTAATCGGTAAATTATTATCATTATTAAAATTACCTTATAATATTTTGGTACTTATTCTGAATATTATGCTGAGAAAGCACTTTTGTAATCCAAGGTCTGAAATTACCTCCAAACTGCACATTTTGCAACAGAATAAGCAATACTGCTGATAACATGAACATGTTTTTATTCAAGATGGAAAATGACTGAATGTTGACATTATTGGGTCATAGATGCACAGAAAATCAAAACTAAATATGCACTGCTACAGATGCCTTGAATTTCCATTCCCGCATGAGCACAAGTCTGTGGCTTTGCATCTGAAACAACTATAAATCACTCTTAAATCGTATATATATTCACCCACATACAGAGTATTTACACCAATGCCCTTAAATAACTGCCCTACGTTAAAAATACACCAAATATCACAAGTGTAAATTAGAAGAAGAGAAGCAATCTTGTAAGCTGATCCATATACAATTATGGTAGAAGTCAGTACAAAGCCTTGCATTAAGAGGAAGGGTACAGAACATTCTACCACCTCTTCATCTTTTACCGCAGATGTACCCAGCCAATACTTATAGATGCTGTTAATGAATAAACAGGAATTAAACTATTCTCTTGAATATACATTTTGTCTCCTCAAATCCACTTCTGAATGCTTATTCATTAACTGTAACCCTAAACAGCCAAATTCAGTGCAGACCTGCTTTGAAAAAAATCATCTTTCCTACAAGGGCCTAAGAAAGAGTGCTTCTGCACTGCTATTGTTTGCTACTGTGACTGTTATTTAAAAAAAACGTGGAACTTTGATTAAACCTGAAAATACCAGTGTATTTGTAACAGGAGTCACTAGTCACAGGGGACATTAGTCAATTCACTTGATCTGAGCCAAAAGGGCAGCAGCAACACCAAAAACCCCATTCACCAATAAGAATGAAGAGTGGATTTTGATGTTGCACATTTCTGTGATATATTTGAATTCCATAGCATATGCAGGAGAGGCTGTTTGAAAATATACATCAAGTGTTTACAGCTACCGAGTGTTAAAGACAAAACAGAATACACAGTGTAAACCTGAACAGAAAAAGCAACACAAGAGTACAAAGCACTTTGCACTAAAACTTCATCTTAAAAGAAGGCTTTTGAACTCAAAATGTGCTTCAGATTTGCAGTATTCAGCCGGGCCAAACCAGAGTTATGTTTATTGCCTACTTTGTTTTGAGGCAGTAAAAAGTTTGCTAGCTCACTGCCTATGTTTTTTATATCCTCGTTCCTCTTCACGAGCCACGATTCAAAGCAAATGCAAAGTCCTGTAGTGCAGGAGTTCTTCATTTCTTCAGTCACTTACATGCTGCAATGTCCCAAATCTGGCATTTTTTTTGTGTCAATAAACCCACGGAGAATGCTTTAACAATTGGACCTAAAGGTATAATGATGGACCAATAAAGCAACAGAAAACCCACTGATAGTTTTGCTATTAAGCTTTTGCAAGCAGTCAGTAATAGAGAATAAGACTTAGAGCAATACAGTATATGATGCATAAAAACATTGCTCGTGTTTTCACAAGTGTGATATATGAGCTAATAAGAATCTCCTGCTATACTAATTTGTCGCTATTTCACAGTATTTATAACTGTAAGGATTTAACTGTGCCTTCCTTAAGTTATCTAAAACATCTGGCACGAATAATGAAATACTGAAGTTTTGAGCTGTGAACACCAAGACACTTTTGCATCTCAAGGGTCCAGGACAATACAAGACACTGCAAAAGGACTCCACTGTAGTTCCTTCTCATAGTACTAACAAAGTGTGCATCAACAGAGCATTTCTGTGTTAAATTTTCCTCTAGCAACAGTGTGTAAGCTCTCCAGAATGATGATAAAATAGTTACAGTAAAAAAAATATTCCTAACAATGCTAAACAATAACTGATATAAATACAGTTTGGTCAAGTTCTTAAAATTTACTCTGACACATAATTCTGTGCATATTCAGTAATGGGTATTTGCAGAGTATGAGTGCCATTGTAGGTACTCTGAATTTTGACGTCAGATGCGTCACCTCACTATATGGAAATATATATCCACCTCACTATATGGAAAATCTCAACTCTTAAGTTTCTAAGCTGTGAACAATACCTGAGTGATAAATGCAAGTTAAAAAGGAGTGCTGTGAACCCACCTTACCACACCAAATAATTTTCTATTGTATCAATATTAAAGGAAGAATTGCAAGGAATTCTAGCATGTAAAACTATTTCCAGACAATTCCACTCAGCCAAATATCAGAGTACTAAAACCCACACACACTCAGTTGAGTTAGAGCATGCATTTCCTCACCTTCTGCACAATACCCCATGCATCCTTGGGTGGGCTGCAGTAAATAAACAAAGAAATCTCCACAGTTCCTCACACGGACAGGGATTCGGAAAAGACAACAGTCTTTTGCAGTGCTGAAGAAAAACTGCCATGTAGCACAAGCTGTTAACTGTTTGATCTCCCCAGGTCGAGGCATGGATTCCAACTCCCTCAGAGACAGCCAGACAGGGGCTTGAGTACCACAGCGATTTAACTACAGCACCAAAGAAAAACATTAGAAAAGAGTTCAGTCTATATCAAACTGTTGCTGCACTTTAAGGAGGTACACATGTATTCAATTAATTTCCTGCATAAGCTTTTAGCAAAGTTTAGACAGTATAATTGAGGGCTTGCTTATTTTCCTCTTCAAGGTTGAATACAAATACACACAAAAGAGACTTAAGCCCTTCTTTGAGTCTAATGAATTTGTGTTTCTAAAGACAGGCTATAATTTAGCATATGAAGAATTTAACTGGGGGCCACGCCTGAGTGTTTAGCCCAAAAAAGCTAACAGTTGTGCTATGGCTTAATGAGTTTCTCCACACCTGTTAACCTACAGTAACTGACAGAGCAAATGCTATCAGAGCACAGCAAATACAGGGTAGAACACACATCCCCTGAACATCATCTAAAAGCACTAAAGCTGACACATTTTATCTGCCATTTGCCATGGACTGAAGACTCAGCTCATCTCCTGGATTTCATCAAAGGGATGTGTCCAGCTGATGCAAGGTTACTCACTTGCAGCCCCAGAGAAAAATGCAAGACACCTGATAAGGCACATCTGTCTCAATTCTCCACCTTTAGAAGTACATGTGCTTGTAGCACCCCCAGAACAACCACAGTGACTTCGTAGTGACCCTAAATCCTTTGGTGTTTACAAACCAGTGGCCTTCACAAGGTCTGTGGTTCAGATGACCTGTTCAGTGCTTTTCCTCAGGGAATGAGAAGTGTGCTGTGGAATAGTGCCTTTCACCCCTCATCACTGTGGCTATGTGAGGTCTTCAGGTCAAGGAAGCTGCCGTGCAAGTCACAAGTTAACTGTAGTGCCAATCATGGTAATCGAAGAGTAAGTCTGATTTAGCAGACACTGGAGTTTATCAGAGGAATACAGAAAAATTAATCATAAGAAAAGGAGACAAAGAAGGACTCTGAGTTACCAGAATGAGCTAACGATCACCTCCTGTCTTTCACATGCTTCAGAAAGCAAACTGAAGAGAAACACTTTAACACAGTGTGTTAAAGCCAGCATTTGGACAAGTTTTACATGAAAACTATAAATCATTAATTGTGAGATTTCTGGAACTTCTTCTCCTTCATACATCACCTCAGCTATTCCTTTCTTTGACCTGACAGTGCAGCAAGGTCTCAGATCAACTGCAGTCATTGAGCAATTATTTTCTTAATCTAGAATATCTGAGCCCACCATCAATCCATCAGACAGAGTTAATGAGAAGTAGAGAGAAATGGCATGGATTGTTTAACAAAGTCTGAACCTTTGACAAGGATTAAATATAGTTATTATAAAAGTTCTCCTAAAGGGAAAGAAAGGAGGAACCTTCCCAAACAAGGCATCCATTTTAGTTTGGTTTTAATGCATTGACTTTGAGATTTCAAAATAAATGTCTTGTTTGACAACAGATACAGAGAAGCAGATGTCAGTGAAGAAACTTCATTCTATGAATAAGTTTTGAATCAATCTCTCTCAAACTCTAATTATCTGGACTCTTCTGTATTAGGGTGGTAGCCTATTTTCACCAAATACTTATTAAGCACTGAGACCTTGGGTTAGATTGCTCAAACTCTCCCAGATGATCTGAGCAGGTATCTTGCTAGTCTAACTTCTGTTCTGGAAAACACATTGTTGTTTGCCTGGTTTATCATGCTCATTCCTTGCATGAAATAATCCATTTTGAGAAAATACAACTAGTTAATTAATTTGTTCGTATTAAAGCTAACTGAAAGTCCGTCCTTCAGGAGCCATACTATTTGCTATGATTTTGCAGTATAAAAGCCTGGATAACAGTAGACTGCAGTACAGCTCTCTGAGTCCTTGAGTCTGCTGCATATTAAAGGTACTTTGGTGGCTTTGTACTGCTGTAAAGATCGAATGAAAAATAAATAGATAAATAACAAGAGAGGCTGCTATAAACTCAACATAATTTTATTAGTATGTCTTAACTGCTTTGTATTCCTTTAAAAGTATTTAATTGTTGGGCTTTACTTTCTCTTTTTTTTGTTTTTTTTTTTTTTCAAAGAAGGTGTGACCAGGCAATTTCAATTAATTAAAAAAATCATTGGTAAAATATTCTAGTGACACATTTTTTTAAACCAGGAAATGTTTTTACATAGCAAACTACAAAGAAACATCTCCTTAAAATATAACTATCAGAGATGTAGGAACAGCTCCAAAATGGAGCATTACAAGCCTAAAGTATTAAATAGTCCACGTAATTCTTGAGTCATCTGCAAGTCCCCTATGACAACTACTAGCTCTGTTAATTCAAGTCATTTTAGGAAAAATCTCTTCTCCCCAACATGATCATTTTAAAAGCTCCAGAATTGCCAGATTCACATGGCTGCAAGTATTTATTCCATTTTCACATGGCCTTTGTAACATGCTGACCATCACACAGCTGCATCTTTACAACATGATATCCCTGCTGCGTTGCGAATGAGAAAATCCTCTTCAGCAGTGACTACAAATGACAGCTTTTCAGTGCTCTAAATGAGAGCTGATTTACCATCATCTGCTATTTCCCATCCGGTGTAAAATTTTTAACCCATAAGACATTATTTTCCAGTCAACACATTTCAATATACTCACATATTCAGAAACTAAAGGTGCTCTGCATTCTTCACATCAGTCTCCATATCCATATTCTTTTTTTATACCTATCCTACCAAAAAATTCTTAAGAAAAACATGTATTTTTTGTGAACAAGTAACAATACCTCCACACATTTGGTTGGCATCTCAGCAGGCTTATCAAAAATCTTAAAGCGATACCATCCTGGTGTTAAGGAATGGTCACATATTAAATCCTGAATAGCTGACTGCTGGAGGTAGGATGAATCAAAATCAACGCTTCGGTAAGGGCTCTGTAGGATCTGATGTCCACCAGGAGAGCATTCAGGAACTGTGGAGCAAGAGTATTTTGAGTATCAGGGTGACATGTTCAACAAGTGTGTTAGAAAAGATGTTAAGTATTTTTGAATGGAACATGTGGAGATACTGCAGTATGGTTTAAGAATGCTTTTACTGAAAAACATATTGAAATCCTGGTAACAACAACAAATAAGTGTGTTAACACTCTAAAATTTAATAGAATTCATCATGTGGTAACTTGATTTTGTTTAAATAGCTAATAAATGCAAATTCATAACCATGTTAGGCATTTATACCAGATGTAAAACTAAAGGAACATGTTTATACTTTCTCTCTGGATTTCGGCTTTCCATAATCTTACCTCAAGACAAGTGAGGATTATCCAAATCTCTTTTGCAAATAGACTAAGAATTTACAGGGTTCCTATGCATGAAATGAAGAATTCCCTAAAATGGTTGAGAGGTACTTGTATACAGTTCACATGTATAAATGCAGATCATAGCAAAAGTGCGTATAGAAATGGGTAGATACTTAGTTGCAAACTTTAAGTAAATTCACAAAAGTGACATGCTAAATTTTAATAAAGTAAATAAAACTGACAAACATTTTTGGACATCTACATGACCTTGAGGCCTCAAAAAAAATTCCAAAATTGCTGGTAGGTAAAATGAAGGATCAGAATCTGAAGAAGTCTTTACAACAATTTTTTTTTTCAAAATATGGACACATTCAGATATAAAGCAGAATGCCAGAATTTCTGAGACTGATCTTTGGAAGCTGAGTTGACTCCTGTCAAAGCCAGTGACAGTAGAACTTCTGGTTAATGGCATATTTGCATGCAATGTACTGAACAGCCATTCTTCCTCAGGAATATGCTTGAGAAGCGAAAGAAAAGTAAAGAGAATGTTCATAAATAAGTAACATATAAAATATTATTTACCTTACTTTTAAAAATGGATACCAACTGATGCTGACTGTGAATGGAATTTCAGGTTATATTGAATGCCACAGTTAATCTTAATTCTTGCCTCTACTATGGTACTAATGAATTTTAAAAGGGCAGCTGTAAGCAAAGACCTATAATGTTACATTTTTAATATTAACAGTCTGATCTTCAGCTTTTGCTCCCAAGTTTTTCTGTATTTGTCCCATAATTTGCATCATGTAATTGAGTCATTGATTACAAATGTATCTTGGTTCTAATCATGCAATAATGCAGTCTCCTCCACATTTTTCACGTCACTCTTCAGAGAATCACAACTATAAGACAGTTTCAAAATAAGGTAATTCTCTCTTTTAAATGGAGAAGATGGTCTGCAGAGCAGACTTCAGCTCTTTCTCACACAGCAGGAGAATCCTATACTCTTTCAAAGACTGAAGATTTAATCTGATATGGCTTTAGGCTACCCAGGCAGGTAACAATAGCTTTATCTCTGTCCTCTAAGGGCAGATGGAAGTCAGTGTGATTGACTGTGCCACCACTGTGCTTCTGAGTGTCTTGCAGTAGCCTGTAGGCTATTCGTGTCCATACAAGTTGACCTTACTGAGAATTTATCCTGCATTGGAATTTGAAGAAAAACCCTTGAAGAATCACAGGTCAGTCATGTGTGTTATTAAAATGTTTTCCAAGCAAGCTTCAGCACAAGCAGTTTATGAACCATGGTGAAAGTTTCTTCCTGTCTTCTATTTTTTATTGGAATTCTTCCTTTCATACAGTACACTCATTAGTTTTCTTTCCTGTAACTGAATCACTCCTGAAACAATTAATTACTGTTACCTTTTCCATTAATAAATCAAGCTAGACATGAAACAAGTCTTTATTTTCTTTTCTTCCACAGTTTAATTAGATCATCGTTTGATAGATCTTTAAAACAGCTGACTGTACTCACTTGTAATAGGGTTATAAATCCTTCTAAAGATCAAATTATATGTTTCTTATTATTATGCACATATCTTTAAAATGTCATCCAGCTCTTTGTGTATTCTTTCTTCCTTTTTAGAAGCATGCTAGTATTTCCGTGGTTATTGCTTGAAAATCTCACTGGTTGATCTTTTTTATTTTCCTTACCCATTCTGCAAAACAACTAAAAATAACTGGCACCATCAATAATGGAAATTAAAATACTTAATTACATATATGAGTGTGTAACTGATGTGCTGTCAAACTCTAGCAACAACAGAAACAAGTAAAACTATCATATTTATGGACACATACACAACACTGAATGTTGTTCTCTGTGAAAAAGTTACCCCTGCGGACCAGACTTGCTGAAATCATAGGCATTTAAGAGGGAAGTTGACAAAATTTTCCACTGAAATAATAATTTTCTTATTCAGGATTTATTAAAAAAAAATTATAAGCATTCTTTCAAACTTCGTTCTCAGAATGACAAATACTGATTTTGCTGTAATGCTCCAGAAAAGCTCTGCCTGTGCCTAACACCCAGCAATGTGCAACCCAATGAGTCAAGTCTGACAAAATAATAAAGAATTAAAACCAGCGTCTGATACCTGGAAGTTCTAAGGAAGCTTACCTAAACTGCAAGCTTATCTACCAGCCCTGCCTAGTATGGGAGGAATGTTAAGGCATGGGAAGTCATATATGCTACTGTTGACTTACAGCATCTTCATCCACAGTCACAAAATATTCTGACGTTCTGCCACAAAATGGAAAACTCATGTTAGTTTTAACAGAATTTATGATTTAAGAATGACTATTCTTGATGGAAACTTTTATATATATATAAAAGTTCTTCTCTGCAAGCCAGGAAGAATTTTATTCCATATTTGCTTTTTTCTGACTGTCTTCAGGATTAATACAGCAAGCTTTGCCTGGATCCATCCCAGACCTACTTGGTCCTGCCAGATACTGAGAAATGTAACCCTAAGCCAGAAAAGAATTCAACTTTTGCAACATCTTAAACACAAGGATATTATTGTGCCAGAGGATGAGCAATAGGAAGTGCTTCACTGGATCACAGCTACTGCTCACAATTGAAAGGCTGAGACCCCATTATTAAATCCAGTCCTGAGTTTATATCATGAAAACTTCCTTGTTCAGTAAAAATAGCTCATCTCAGGATTAACGCAGGCTTTCAGATACCACATACATGGTCTGTTTACTACCCAAACTTCACTGCAGGTATTTGTTACGTTGGGTTATTCTGAGAGCTGTTTTTTTTTTTCCTGGCTGCTTTTTATATTGGGCAGGTTTTCCCAGTCATCTTTCTGAACAGATTAAACTGCAAAAATATACAAACTAGTACACATATTCCTGGCCTTTCTGGGAGAGACATAGACAAAATCTCTGAAGTGACAATGCCAACTGTCACTCTGAAGTGACAATGCTGCCAAGAGACACCATTACTTAAGCTCTGTCTGGACAATTTTAGGCAAATGCTTGGGCCTAGCACCAGGGAACTGCACTCTTGTACTTGGTGGCACATACTGCCAACACACTGGCTTTTGTACCATGACTGCCAAACAGGTTCAGGTAACAGGTACTCTGACTACCACACCTTAACCAAAAGTCAAAGAGGTTCTTGGAAGACACAGGAGCCCATTTTCCACAGAGAGGTATTTCAGTGGCTCCTGATGGCTGCCTCTGAGGCACTCGGGTGGAAAACGAGTCCCACAAAGGAAGGGCTTTTCAATTCCCTGTTCACTTATCTGTTCCGATCCACATGCAAGGACAGGCTGATTATTTTCCACCTGTCCATAATGTTTCCAGTATTATGGAGCAGTCAAGGACTCGGGACTGCTGAGTATAAACCGAGTAGAGATGGAAAAAGGAACCAGTCATGTGCAGGCAAGGGCAGAGTGGCAGGACTGGCAACCCAGTTCCTCAGATATGGACAGCTTATCAGTTTATATCTCCTGCTGTCCAAAGGCCAGGGTCTGGCAAATGACTACAGATAAACAAATAATGCCATTAGTAAGTGCCCACTCCGATCCTGAATGTGCTTTTTCTTGTATCTAATAACTGCAAATGATGCAGCATATCAACATCCCAAGGAAGAAATTAGAACAAGGACTGCATTTAACAGAAGTGCTCAGGTTTATTTGTGGATTTAAACTCTTTCAAAACACCAAAATAGAAAGAAACTAACTTTTTGGAAGAAGTTTAGGGTAACACTTTCAAAGTAAAATATAAAAATTAACGTAACTATTTACCTAAAATATACAGTTTGCTTGGATGACACACATAGAAGAAAATTAATACAAATGTTGTAGCAATGACAGTATCACAATACCATGGAGCAGGAATATGAATACTCGTGTATGTGGAACCATGAAGAAAACAGAATCAACATGCACACATTAACGAATCAGTATAAACAGCACTATTTGAATGGGTGTTAAAACACATCTCCACTACTCATGTCCACATCCTGAAGGGTGCTTTGTAAAGGTAGCAAATAGTTGCACAACCTTTAGGAAAATCTAAAATACATACTTACAGAATATTTTTTAGTAGTTCTCAGTGTAATACACTATTGTATCTACTCTGTGAATTTTCTCTCAGAAGTCTGAAATGGTATGTTTTTTGCACAGGTGCTGCAAAGCATTCTGCAAAGGCCCCAAGTAAGGGTGTCCCAATACACCTTGTGTGCTACAGCACACAGGGAAGAGCCAGCAATGCAGAGAGAGCGGGAGAACTAACATTACTGGTCTCCGATTTTCCTTTGGCAGGTTTTCCCTGCAGATGCGCTCTGCCAGTGACAATTCCTGTTTTATCAATTCATAAAGTTAAAGCTTACCTCTCCGACGGGGCCTTGCCGCCGCCAGGCACCCCAGGACGGCCGCGCAGAGCCAGAGGCGCTGGGTTGTGGGGGCGGCCCCCGGCATGGTCCCGCCGCGCCGATCGGCCCGTCCGCTCCTCTTCGCTCGCCCCTCGGCTGGGAAGCTCCGTCTCCGCACCTCCGGGACGGGCGGCGTCTCCGCGCTCTTCTGACGGCTCCGTGTGCCCACCCCACGCCTCAGCGCAGCCCCTCCTTCGGGGGTTCCTCGGCGGGGTCCGGCCCTCAGCCCGCCTTCCTATCGGCCCGTGGCCCGGCCCCACCGGGGGGCGCCGTAGGGGTGTCTTCGCCCGTAGCTTGAGCGGCGGCGCAGCTACGGCTTGTGCCCGGGCACGGCGGGTGGGGACTGGGCCCAGGGCGCCGGCGGTTCCCCTTTCTGGGTTCTCGATGGGGGGGATATCAGCAGCAAGCAAACGAAACACTCAGTGATCCTTGTTGGGGGCATTATGAAGATGCTTTTTTGAATCCTAGACAGACTCAGGGCTGATTGGCATAATGAAAAAACCCAACATCCTACTGCCCTCCAACCCCTAATTGTATTTATTTTCTAACATGCCGTAAAATGCTGAAAATCCTGTGAATGCTTTGGTCATTTCCTTAGAGCACCAAGCGTGTTTTATACTTCTGCTTTAGTAATAATTACAAACTGCTGTGTTTGACATCATTAGTGCAGAATGAGTTAAGCAAATATTCCATGGTTTCAAGCAACCAAGTTTCAAGGGAGATGCTCCTGTTTGGATATGTCTAGCAGAGGACAAAGAAGAGGACAAATCTCAGCATTTAAGATTTGGAAATGCTGGTACTTCTTCTTGTAGGCCTGAGGTTGTGCAAGCACTGAAGTAGCCTGCACACAGAAGAATGTACAGCATTCCACAGAGATGGCTCATGTTCTTGTTAGGATGTGCAAACCTAAATCAAACAAAAAAAAATGTTGCTGACATTAAAACAAAGCTTACTGCCATTCACTGAACATCTGCAAGGCTAAAATATTTGGTAAGGACTGCTTCTAGGAGGTCCTGACCTGGGTGGCTCTCTTCAGAGCAGGTTTTCCTGCAGGAGGAGGTATCAGAGCTTGGAGTGGAGGCAGAGATGCAGCAGCATTGTGTAACCTCAGTCTGCTTTCATGCACACACCCTGGGCTTTTTCACTGAAATAAGCAGTTCAGCTCTGTGACAGCAGTGAGGTTTTAAAAGGAATTGCTGGCACAGCCTGGATTTCTGTCAGTTTTCTGTGGCAGATAGGTTTCTCCTAGGCATTCAGGGAAATTTTAGTGATGAATTTTCTTAATGTTTTAGTCAACTATCCAAGTTATTTGCTACCACGTATGATAAACATTTATCCTGGTAAGCTGCCTACATCTGAAATTAGTCTGGATTTTGTTTTTATTTTTCCCAAAGTGTGTGTTTGTAAAGAAGACAAAAAGAAAGAGGTATTTTACAAAACAAGTTACAAGATTAAAGACCTGGAAAGAGAGATGTGAGAAGCTTTGACAATAAACATTGGGCTACTTCTTTGACCTCTGTTAATCATGATGGAGTGGTATTTACAGGAGGATTAACACCTTTCATCATGGATCATGCAGGAGACCGAAAGGTGCTGCTGGAGTGAAGATACCTTTCATCTTTCCTGCACTGGTTTTCCTCTACCAGCTCCCTCTGCTACTATCGGCCTTGTAGCCTCTTATGGCAACAGCAGAGCAAAAGCATATTGTGCTTAAAAGAGCTGACAATTTGCCAAATGCAGTCCTCCATGCTCACAGTGACAGAGTTGTGTCAGTGACAGTGAATTTACAAAAAATGAAAGTAATTCTACAGCAGCCTTATGCTTATAGTAGGAGTATAGGTCTTCGCAACAGGTTGCAATTTCAGAAAGTCTTAGAGAGTAATTTATATTATTTTAATTAAGTAGATCATAGACTATATAAAATGGGCTTGCACTGCTGAAAACACCTCTTTCATTTATGATGGAATATGAAGTTGAAATACAATTTCGAATGTGCATGTTGTTAAGTAGCAGGATGTTTGTGAGGAAAAACCAACACTATCAAATGGAGGAAGAATTTAAGATACTATAAGTGATTATGTAGTTCAAGTCACTACTGTTGTAAATAGTTCAGAGTTTGACTGAAAACACAACACAGGGAGCAATAGTATCAATGCTAGGGAGCATTTAGAAATTGCAAGACAGAGCAGCATTTCCCAGAATTGGATTTTATTAATACCTCTGAAGAAAGAGAGATGTAAATTTGGTCCTAGGAAATTATTCCAGGACTAACTTCCAGTTTCATAATCTTAAGTCTGTTCAGTAAAGCTTTTAAATATACATATAATTTCAGGTGGACTCTTAAGTTTTGTCTATGAATGAACTAAACTATTTGCTTGAACAAAGCCTGAGTAGAAGCGCTTTTGCCCAGTAAGGACTGACTTCTTAGGGAGAGGAGAGCACACTGATAAATTGGAGAAAACAGATGTGTTGGATGACAAGGAGCAGGAACTTGAGCAATGCTGAAAATAGAGTCATTGCAGAAGTTTAAAAATTCAGATAAAAAAGAAGGTGGCTCTGCTGATGGTAAGTCCTCAGTGATGCAACTGGATTGTACTGGTTTAGTGGTTATCTGCCTAAGTTCATGACTTTGCAGCTCCAGTATGTATTTGCCTGTCAGGAGTCCTAGAAGAAACATGAAAGGTCAAAAGGAAACTTTTTCATAAATACATCCGATGTAGCATCTTCTTACTTCATCCGTCACTTCTATTGACAACATGCGAGCATGATCTCTGTAACAGTGCACCTTAGATCATGACCTTAATATATATGAAATACAGCTCTGATACAATATTTAAATAATCTCCCATACTGCATTTGGGCAGTCCAGAGTGGGCAGCAGGCAAGTGGATAGCAGGCTGATTAAAGGCAAAGGAGTAATAGCCTTAATAATTTAGGTAATTTAATCATAAAGAACCTTCAACAATGTTTGCCAATATGTGTACTATTTACAAATGTGTCCATAGCTGCCCAGGTGTGAACTGGAAATGAGAAATTACCTTTCAGTTTTAAAAGTATTTGGCTTCAGACAAAGCTGTGGATGTTTTCTGTAGTTGTATCCAAGCCCTAAATACAAAGGTAAATAAGGGGATCACCTAGAACAAAGGCAGTGCTTTTGAGAAGTTTCTTGGAAATAACAAGTAATTAGTGGGAATGCTGGTGCATGGAGATTGGGAGCCGAGGGCAGCAGCTGGGTGGGTGGATGCTGTCCTGAACAATGAATCCCCAGATCTTAGGGCTTCTGAGTAATATTTTGTAAATAAAGGTAAGCAATTAGAGAAGAATCTGATTAAGCTAAAATTGCCCAGTATATCTGATTTATTATGAGCCTTTTCTTTCAAATTGTGTAGCTAAAAGCACGAATGGACGTCTGTCTTAAATGAATCCTCAAGGCTGTACTGTTAAGCCTGTCTCTATTGCAGGCAAGGTAAATCTGAATAAGCCCTTTAAACCTCTGTCAGTGTATTTGTTATCTGGGCAGAGATAGAACATGGATGATAACTCCAAATAAAGCTGTGAGCAGAACTTAGAAGCTGGGCGAGATTTCTGTGCAAAGCTTCAAAAGGGTCATTGTAGTAATGCCAAGTGCTGGATGTTTGGAAAGAGTTGCCTTGAGCAGATAATACCCCTCCTGCAAAGAGCAGATGGCTGAGAGATAGCCCACAGCTCTGGGCAGATCCAAAAGCATCACAAAGGGACGAGTTCTCTTGCACTTGCCTTTAATGTTTTTAGTATTTTCCATTTGTAAAAATAATTTATTTTTGGCTTTGCCAGTTTGTGTATGTGAATGGTAAGTGAACTTGTCCTTCCTGAAACAATAAATTGTTCACATTCTTCGTCTAACCTAATCAATTCTGTCCTAAAGTCAAATTCCAGTCTTTCCTTCAAATTGCAGGTTGTGTGACTTTTAACTTAGCTAAGGCTCATTTGATTTAAAGACACAGTTTAATGGCTCTGAAACTAGTGTCCCAAAGCATCACTATGACACACTAAGACACATCACCAGTTCCAGTTGAGAATCAGATATTTGATTCTATTCCCTATCTCTATCTTTGACACCAAATAAATAGAAACAGAGAATTAGGAATGTTCATATGCATTTATTGATTTCAGTCATTCTGTGGTTAGCATTACAGCATTACAAGAGCTTAAATTTGCTCATGTTTATTTTGCTGGCTCCATTTTCTGAAAATTGCTTGGCTTTTGAGAGGCATTTTTTTTTCAAAATACTTCCAAAATTTGTAAAGGGTATTTTTTAAACTGCCATGTACGTGTACTCAGCATTGACAGTCTGTTTAGCTTTCAGAAGTAATGACATCTTTAGTATGTTTTAGCTCCTAATTCTCTTTCATATTTGACCTCTTGTTTATACTCTATTTGACTTATGTAGTAAAGGACTTCAGTATAAAAATCTAATGTAGTTTGGCTTGGATAAGCTTTATGAGGTTTAATAGGAATTGTAGGATATCTATCTCTGCTACCCAAAAGGGGTTATTAAAAGCCAAATAAAATCAGTGGTAGGCTTTCTGTTAGCTTCATTTGCCTTTGGATCAACCTCTTTTTTATGGTTCTCAAGTATTTTTATATTCTTTATTACATAATGGCCTATTTGCATTTGCACTACTATTTTTTATATCTGTGAAGTAAAAATTAACTTTACTGGGTAAAAGTCTTAACCAAATTATACGCTTTTCTAAAGTGCAGATGAGAAAAAATATTCCTAAAACATATAAACTATTCAGATTATCAACAAATAATGACATATCTTTCTTTAATTCTCAGATTACCTTTGTTAGTATCGAAGGCTTTAGTCCTCTGAGACTAAAACTTGTTTCAGTGAAATTCCTCAATAAGAAGAGGGAATTAATATAAAAACTCCTACATCCTAGTGCTAAGAGCTACGTTCTTTCTTTCTGGGCCCATCATTTCTCCTCCTAGCTTTTACCTTATATGCGGGACCAGCTCACTACGTTGTGAATCGGTAAGATCACTGAGCAGCCAGCTCTG